TTACGATTCGCATCATTAGATGGTGAGATATCGTCGTACGCGAGTTGTTGGAGTCGATGGGTATATATAAAGCACTAGTATATCCATGGTCCATCCACAGCTGTTGCTGCTCCAAAAAAAATGCCACAAACACTATGCAAATTTCCTCATATCCACACGCTCATGATAATGCTGCTCGTTCAAACATATTGTAATTCGCATCAGTGGATGCTGAGACATCGCTGTGCGCTAGTAGTTGTAGTTAATGGTTATATATGACGCACTATAATACACATGGTCCGTCCATAGCTGTTGCTCTTCCAAAAAAATTGCCACAAACACAAAACCGGTATCGCCCTGTCCGCACACTCATGATAATGTTGCTCGTTCAAACAGATTGCAATTCGCATCAGTAGATGCTGAGATATCGCTGTGCGCTAATAGTTGTGGTTGATGGTTATATATGACGCACTATAATACACATGGTCCGTTCACGGCTGTTGCTGCTCCAAAAAATATGCCACAAACACGAAACCGGTATCGCCCTGTCCTCACGCTCATGATAATGCTGCTGATTCAAATGGATTGTAATTTGCATCAGTGGATGGCGAGATATCGTTGTGCGCGAGTCGTTGCAGTTGATGGTTATATATGACGCACTATAATACACATGGTCCGTCCATAGCTGTTGCTCTTCCAAAAAAATTGCCACAGACATGAAACCAATATCGTCATATCCTCACAATCATGATAATGCTGCTCGTTCAAACGGATTGTGATTCGCATCAGTGGATGGTGAGGTATCGTCATGCTCGATTCGTTGGAGTTGATGGTAATATATAAAGATATATAAAGCACTAGTATACGCATGGTCCGTTCACGGTTGTTGCTCCTCCAAAAAAATTGCCACAAACACAAAGCCGGTTCTGTCATATCCACACGCTCACGATAATGCTGCTCGTTCAAATGGATTGCAATTCGCATCAGTAAATGGTGAGATATCGTCGTGCGCAGAATATCATGATTATAGCAATACACCAGTTATGTTCAGGAAAAAACCAAAATACTACCAAGGTTATTGCTCGTAAAAAAAGCGAATGACATGGAAACGATGTCGCCATCTCGTTGCACTTTGGTATCCAAGTATGAAGAAAACCGGTCTGTACAAGCTAGGGCACGTTTTGTCGCCTTTGTGCTGTAGTTTTTATTATCACGCTTGAATCGTCAAGTTAATTGACTCTGACCGTTCTCTTTTATCTCTCAAAGCAAGTGATGAACAATGTTGTGGGTTCATGGAGTGGCATTTTTTGTGTATAATGTTGCTGTTCTTGGCGATTGGCATTGGCTTCTGCGATTAGTAGATAAGAGAATGCTTCACTGTTGTCGCCACGCCAAAGATATTCCTGTGTTGACGAAAGCCAAATTGTCCGTTCGTTGCGGACTTTTTGACCAATTGAATGTGGCGGAAAGACCGGGAACACTATTTATCCAGCCACCCGTAGCAGCAAAGCTGTATAGATGCAGATATACCCCTCAGCAGCTTCCACTGATTGGATTATCATATACGAACATGCACCAGAACCGCAGATGCCACATTTATTAATGTATTTTCAAGCTTAAAGTATATGGAGCTGTTTTTGTTCATCACACGACAACAGAATCTCATTCCATAAAATAGCAATTTATTACAGCATGCTAATATTATACACTCAAAAAATGCTATTGCTTCCTTACCTGCATATCGCCGCTGCTTTCCACAGAGCCCTCGAAGAATATAGCTTTAATGTCATTATATCCACGGTATGCTTCCAATCCTCACCTATAAACAATGAGATATTATCATTTCGGATCCTTGTAGTAATCCTCATTTGCTTCAGGCCGCTCTTGATCTATAATAATCCACACGCTCTTTTTACCGCAGTTGCTCGTCGATAAGACGTGGTAGAAACACTACATCAGCATCGTCACGTCCGTCAGCTCGTCCTCATTCTACTGCACTAAACGATTCGTTTTTTGGAGTACTGGATGGCGAGATATGGCCGTGCGCGAATCGCCCCTTTTTGGCTGACTTTGGTGTATACATATATGATCCACTATAAGTGCACGCGTACCGTTTCGGGCTGTTGCTTGTCGACATGACATGGCAGAGACACCAGACCACCAGCACCACGTTCGTCTGCTCGTCCTTATTCTGGCACACTAAGCGGTTCGTTATTTGGAGTACTGGATGGTGAGATATCGTCGTGCGGGGATCGCTCCTTTTTAGCTGACTTTGGTGTATATGTATATGATCCACAGTAAAATGCACGCGTACCGTTCCTAGCTTTTGCTCGTCGTAAAGACATGGTAGACACACCAGATCAATATCGTCACGTTCGTCTGCTCGTCCTGATTCTGCCACATTAAGCAGTTCGTTTTTTGGAGTACTGGATGGTGAGATATGGCCGTGCGGGAATCGCTCCTTTTTGGCTGACTTTGGTGTATATGTATATGATCCACTGTAAAGTGCACGCGTACCGTTCCTAGATGTTGCTCGTCGACATGGTATGGTAGAGACACCAGACCAATATCGTCACGTTCGTCAGCTCGTCCTCATTCTACTGCAGTAAACAGTTCGTTTTTTGGAGTACTCGATGATGAGATATCGTCGTGCGGGGATAGCTTCTTTTTTTTGTCTGCCAGTTTGCCTGATAAAAAGAAAGAAATAAACACGTGCCGCCATGGCTAATGCCCCTTGTAGAAAGTTAATGGCATATACTCGACGTTTTCACCTTGTTATTCGCAACCTCGTATACCGTAAAAAAGAAAAGCGGCCTGTACTGTGCAGGCTGGTGCAAGGTTTGCTGCTTTATGTTGTGGTCATGCTATGATGCAGGCAAGTCAATGGTATTGTAATTAACTTTGCCCGTTATTATTATCAGGTGCCGTAGCTTCCGTTTGTTGTAACGTTTGTTGCTGTAGTGCTGCTGTTGCTACTGGAGTACGTTGCTGTCCTCGTCAAATGGCTAAAAGTTCCAGCAATTGCTACTAGTAAAAGAGAGTAAACCATTCGCCATCCCAATGCCACTGCTCCTCTAGCAATTAACATCCCAGAAACTAAATACCTTTTTTTGCAACCGCTCTTGCTTTAATATGTATAGAATAAAAAGCGGTAGTAAACGAGTGTTGAAGAGAAAAAAAAAATAAGTAATAAAAGAAGTGGAGCTAGCTCTCCTGCTATTTTGCTGTCTTCCTCACCACTTTCTCTTAATTTGATTGGCTAAATCCCGGGGTCAGGCCGGGGTCATCCGTCGCCACTTGAATTGAAATGTCGGGGTCATCGGGGTCACTCATTTTCGCTGTGGCGACTTCGTCGCCACACCGAAAATGATTCTAGGGGTCAATAAAGACGAAACCGATGGATATCCATTGCTCATTGTTACCTTGCTCATTATTTGTGGATTGAACATTGTCGGTAAGCAAACAACTGGAATACCGAATTCGCGTACCAGATACGCATAATACCGGACGCCTGCAAGTATGTGCTTCGTCGTGTGTCTGGAATGTGGCTTTGGTAAGTTGCAGGCCATGCCGGGATATGTGACGGAGTACAGCTCTTTTGCTACCCCCTTTTGCTGAAACAGATGACGTGCAGAAGCAATGTTCAAGCTGCGTGCAACGCGCAAGAGCGAAGCCGCCGCATCCACATAATCCGACACCCAAGCGCTGTCCTGTGTTGATCCAGTGCCAGTTGGAAACCTTTAATCGACACTGCTTGTTTTCTGCGTTATCGTCAGGTAGCCATCCTTACTGGTTGTTGACAAACACACGTTGTCTTGACAAAAGACAAGGACCACAGTTTTGATCTTTGAGATAATACAGTCAATGTGTGCAGTGTCAATGGCAATGATCGCCTGCAAGTCTGTTGCAAATAACCAATTATTAAAGGAAGCTGTAATTCATGCCTCCAACACACACCATTGAATCTATTACCAGCAAGTAATCCTGAACCATCGTGTATATAATTATCAGGCAGTGTGCGACAGTTGAATGCCATCCATCGGTAAAAGTCTTTTGGGATGTCTTTACCGGCACGTACAAGATCCGATAAAGATATCACTTGTGTAGTTGCCACAAGTGGCTGTTGGAGCACGAGTGGCTTTTTGTCATCAAATTTTGGCACCTCTTTGTCTATTTTACAGAAGATAGAAACCGCCATTAGTGACAATCGTATTTAGACTGAGACAGCGCGTTGCATCAAATCACAAAAGTGCCTTACCTCTAGCTTTCTTTCTTTTCTTAAACACTTTACTCATCCGCAAAGGTGCATCATTGCTTGAGACGGTGGGGGTTCGCTAAAAAACGATTTGTTGGCGTCGTGGGCTTTGTGATATATTTAACTATCCTTTGTACCTGTGTGTCATTACTCCTGGTTTTGAATGTAATTTCATAATTATACTCAGCACATATCACCTTGACGGCAGATAAAAAATGATCGATGCCTGTAAAACATCATGAGAATTCGCACTGTCGTCTTTTACAGACATTGTCCAAGACATACTTACCATAGCTCGATGCTGCTGTTTGTAGTGAAACCTCTAGATCAGAAGGCATGAGAGACGCGTTTATGCGATAAGAATACAAAGACGTGGCCACAATTACGGCTAAAAAGGAAAAAGGGTATTGCCTTTATAATTTGACTTTTGTTGATGTCAGTAATCGTACAGAGTCGACAAACAGATCAAGACAAACACTCGTACTTTGTACAACATCCTACTGCATTCGACCTGTTTACTTTTTTCTTGGAAAAGAGCCTTTCTTGTTGACCGTTTTTGTATAGCAAGTAACAGGTTACATTGGGGGTCTTTACCAAACTTGAACACGAGCCCCTGGCCACATTTTTTTTTTTGGGGGGGGGGGGGTACTGTTCAGAATTCTTTGCTTCCTACTATTTGCTTCGGGGTCAATTGTGCAACACAGCTGCAGCGACAGTCCCATCCAACTTCTTGGATATGGCGTCAAAATTATCTTGACGCAGATGTATCAACAAACAGCACTTTTCCCATTTTGCTTGAGGGTTAATTGTGCAACATGTTTGCAAATGTGCCAACTGGCATATATACTCACGCGAAAAAGTGAGTATCTCTATCCACTCTAAAGCAGTAGTTGATGCAAAAGTTAGATATAACACATTTTACACAAATACATCAGTTTGAAAAATTGTAGAGAACAATTTTTACATTGTTAAAGCCGTCCTATAAATCACATTTTGTAAGTGAAATCTTCATTACTAAACGTCGTTGCTTGTAAGAACCATGCTGCTTTGCAATCATGCTTTTCCAAGTTTGCTTATAAAGTCGCTCGTGCTACATACTTCCATATCAGTAAACAACGTCGTAATGCTTTTCGGCAGCAAATATCGTTATATGCGATCCCCCTGTTGATCAATTGACCCTCGGGGTTCAGTGTACTACCATTTACAAGAACTGTCCATCTTGGCTATATTCTGTCTCGCCGTATATCTCCCTTCAAGTAATAGATTACTACGTATCCATATTATTTTAGCATTAAAGTATTTGCCTGACAAAAAGTCGAGCATAGTGTGTATATAAGGCCGACTACTTTGCATCATTTGCATCAAACAACAACCCTTCTTACTTTGCCAACATGCAACCTGATCCCTTTAACTTTTCTGGATACAACCTCTACGATGACAACGCCAATGAACTTACCAGAGTATTTGATGGTGCTGACTATGGCTTCGCTCCGGCTTCCTTGGCTACTAGACACATACCAATAGTTCAAGGTCAACACACATTTCCCATGGACAATTCTCTTGCTACCGGTTATCCAAACACTGGTTCAACTACTGCAGCTACCATGGACTTTGACTTTGTACAACCTGATGATTATCTCATGGCTGCTGACAATGGATCGAGTGCTCTGTCTGCTGCTGTTGACCTTCGTGCCGATACCAATGTTGCTCCCCTGCCGAATTCCAATGTTGGCTCTCACCCTACCAGTAGGGCTCAATCTCGTACTGGTCCAAAGGCCCCGATGGCTTATAGTACTGTAATGCGTATGGAAAACGGCGAACTAGTCTCTGTTGAAGCTGCTGAGGATCATTGTGTTTACTATGACGGATCGCACATGGAAACAAGCACTGTGTCTCCTCTTCAAGTTGTGAATCGTGGCAGTTCCTCGCGTACGGCTCTTTTTATTGATAATGAGCCTGAATCCGCTTTAGTGCGCCCTCGAGTAAACGGCAATGTGTCGCAGACGAAACATGACCAGGCATACCACCGCAACCACGTTCAATTAAAAGTTGATGTTTTTTATGCTGACAAAGGC